TAAAGGGGTTCATTTTTTTCTCTCTTTTTCCCGCTGGTGATCCTGCTAATAACACACTTCCTGTCATAGGGTGACAACCAGGGGTGGACTGACAACTCATGGGGCCCCCGGGCAATAGGGGATCATGGGGCCCGTGTCCTTGCCCAAACTCAAAAAAGCCTATAAAAAAGGTACCAGTGGCATCTCATGGGGCCCCCTACTGACCCCGTGCCCTCGGGCAGTGCCCGAGTTTCCAAATGGTCAGTCCGCCCCTGGTGACAACATTCTCTCACTGTACTGTATCTATGGAGAGGAAAAGTCGTCACACTAGGATGGTACTGTAAAAACATCTCTCATCCTCTCTTCTCCATAACAAAAGCGGAGGTGTTCTGTAGTCCACAGAGACAGCTGGGAACTATGATAACTGATCAGAGTGCAGTAGAAAGTGCTGAAAGTTATTAACTTACAAGATTTTTTCAGCCGGTACATAGGACTGGAATAGATATAACAAAATGCAGTTTATGGTTAGTGTTTGCAGACATTTTAGGTCTTTTGTTTTATGATCCCCAGGTATAATTATGGACACATTTTGTAGCTGTAAATTTTGTCTGTAGTTCTACATTACACACATCCAAAAATAATAAAGTATATAACCATTGCAGTACAGGGAGGTTGAGAAATATCCAGAAATATGGACAAGTTTCAAGTGTCCTGGGAAATCAGGGACAGTTGTCAGCTCTGAGATGGGAAATTCGGGAGGCAATGCAGACTGTACACTCTAATAAACAAAAGCCGCAAAGTTTATAATGTCAGCAAACTTCCAGAAGTTTCTAGCTCACGGTTCGAGTTCTCTGTACTTTTAACACACCCTAGGGGTGGCCCAGCTAGGAGCTGTATTGTTATTGTAGCCTTTACAGAATCCATTCCAAGTGCAGAACGAGCCCTCGGTGAACAGTATGAAAAGACTGATTTATTTTCTGCGGACAAAGCGAGTAAGACTGCGCCACGACTTCAAATGGATTGCACTATCTGCGATGAGAGGATCTCAACTGGAAAATCCTGCTCAGCCCCCCTGTCCCTGAGGATTCCGGAACATTATTAAATATGACATTTCACAGCTCATGAAAATGATTCTACACGCCGAGAGAAAACCATGTGGGAAAGTTACACGTTATTTCATGTAAATCTCACCAAGTGAGGTTTTTCAGAAGCGTAACATTTACCAGTCTGTGCTGACTCCTTCAGCCTCAGCTGGAACAAGTCAAAGCACATGTGACTGGTTATTTATTTATTTCAGGTACTTATATAGCGCCGTAAATTTATGCAGCACTTTACATATATATTGTACATTCACATCAGTCCCTAACCCTCAAGGGGCGTACAATCTAAGGTCCCTAACTCACATTCATACACATACTAGGGACAATTTAGACAGGATCCAATTCACCTACCAGCATGTCTTTGGAGTGTGGGAGGAAACTGGAGTACCTCGAGGAAACCCACGCAGGCACAGGGAGAACATGCAAACTCCAAGCAGGTGGTGCCGTGGTTGGGATTCGAACCAAACGACCTTAGTACTGCCAGGCGGAAGTGCTAATCATTTAGCCACTGTGCTGCCCACTGTGGTTCTCTTTAATGCATGATAAATATGAAACCTATCAGTCAGTTAAAGGAAATCTATGGTCACAGCACACACTTTGATCTTCTAACATCACTATTGTAACAGCAATACAAACAATAGTTATTTTGACAATCCAATATAAGTTTACTTGAACAATCTCCTTTCATTTGTTCTGCCTGTTTGCTGGCCATCTTTCTTCCAATCACTTCCTGGAGTCCCAGCATGCTTTGCAGCTTTCTGAGGACCACATATCCCAAGGTACCATGCTGCCTGCAAGCAGTGATTCCTGTACTGACTCCGCCTCCTAAAACTATTCCTCTCATCTCCTCTGTAGTTCAGAATGCAGACTCTGTGAAATGTGTGACACAGCAGATCCTACTCACAGTAGGCAATCAAATAGCGAATATGTGTCACAAAATTAAAAAAATGCAAGTGTGTGAGGACCTTCACAATGTAAGTTCACAAACTTCAAGATTGTTCAGATTAATAGGAGCGGGCTAGAAATGAAACACAATATGGAAATGAATATATTAGTTTACATTTTGATCATTTATACACTTTAGAGATTTAAAGAGAAAGTTCATTTCAAAACTGGAAATAAAATTACTATTGCCACTTGACGTAGTGCTGGTGTTAGGACCAGGATCTGCACCCACATCTTCTGCTGCGTCCAGCTCTTCTTGCTGAGCCACCTCAGATGCTGGACAGCTCCCTGTCTGATCATTTGGACTTTCTTGTGTTTTGTGTCTTGTGTTTCTGCTGAACCTTGAACTGTTTGCTCCTCCCATGAGCTTCATATTTAAGCTATGCCCTTGCACTTCCTGTTTGCCAGATTGTTGTTCTCTCTCCAAGCAATATCTTGCTCTTGTCACTCTTGCTGCCATTTGTATGCTCATCACCATTCGTTACGGACGTTTGGCTTGTTCCTCAACTATGCTTCTGACTGATCCCCCCTGCAATCACTTTTTACCGACCTTTGGCTTGTTTACTGACTACGCTTCTGATTGATCCCCCCTGCAATCACTTTTTACCGACCTTTGGCTTGTTTACTGACTACGCTTCTGATTGATCCCCCCTGCAATCACTTTTTACTGACCTTTGGCTTGTTTACCGACTACGCTTCTGACTGATCCCCCCTGCAAACACTTTTTACCGACCTTTGGCTTGTTTACTGGCTATGCTTCTGCTTGATCCCCCCTGCAAACACTTTTTACTGACCTTTGGCTTGTTTACTGACTAGGCTTCTGATTGATCCCCCCTGCAAACACTTTTTTACCGACCTTTGGCTTGTTTACTGACTACGCTTCTGCTTGATCCCCCCTGCAACCACTTTTTACTGACCTTTGGCTTGTTTACGGACTACGCTTCTGCTTGATCCCCCCTGCAACCCAGCTTGCTCACTTCCTGGTGAGGCAACCTTTAGGACCCCGACCTGGTACTAACATGCAGCAAATGCATCTCCCACCATCAGGAGCTCTGATGAATGCTAATCAGTGCTTAGAACCTGTGTCATCTACCAGGGTGACCTGCTTGTGTACTTATCCAGCTGGTCAGTGGGAGCCTCTCTACTGCAATAGCTACTGGTCTTTGAGCCGGGCCCCCATGACTATAACAACTGGAAAGTAAAGGGTTTGTGTGTCCATCTATATTTTATTACCACAGAACTATGGTTGGGGTAGGCAGTGTTTGCATACAGTGCAGTTTATCCTTTCAGTGTACCCTACACTGGATACTTCCCAACTTTCTGGAATGAGAAAGATGAGACACCTTTTAGTGGAAAGTAAGCAAAAGAAACATTTACGACGACCAGGAAAATTCGATATGCAAAAAAAACCTATTGGTTTAACAAATGTGTGGTTTTTGCTCATTTACGTTTTCTTTAAAGAGCTTTTCAAACTTACAAATTCAATAATGCAATGGTTGGACATATGGTTTACTGCAATATAACACTTACAGTGCCCAAATGATACGTTTGGTCACAGAGAGCTATACATCAGACCAAAAAGAGGGACAAATAAGGAAAAACAAAAGGGATGGAGGGATTTGGGTTCAGGACAGCTCTTCAGGGATCAGGGACAGTTGGGAGCTATGTTGGTGGCCCCAGATTCCTCCTTAAATATTGGCCTGTAATGAAGAAATTGCTCCTCATAGCTGACATCCTGAGGGGAAATCACGTTTTTGATGGTGCTGCATCCAATAACAAGTCCTAACATGCTCCACATTCTCTCCCTGGCTTTTCTAATCTTGTTTGTTGTGCTGAAGCAAACCCCATCACCGACACCATGGCCACCAGCAAATAGAAAAGTGGATCAAAACTGGTGGACTGAGAAGCATCCGTTGGCTTGTGACTCTTCGTATCATTCTGCTGCTCCTAGTCCAAATTAGATAAAATATGATATAAACTTGGTAGGAGCTGAGTATAACTATTCATATCTTTGTGCGGAATAATCAGCAATTTTAGCCGGGTTTTGTGTAGGAACAACACATGCTTACATCCTCACACCTAATAATTATCAGTTATGCCCTATATAAGCAAGCAGCTCTTAGTTACCGATGTTGCAAAATAGTTTCCAAGGGCAGCTTCCAAAGTGTTGGTGTATCTAGGCTGGTTACACTACATGCCAGCCTCGAAGTACTGAGAACCCTACAGATACCACAGGATTTATGTTCATTTAAAACATATACTATTTTTGAAGTACTCCTTTTAAAAAAAGTAGCTTAAAAGGTATGTAGCATATCAAAGTGAACCTGTCATAACAGCTGATACTGCTGGCAGTTCATAGTGCTGTTAAAAGAAGACAGTCTTTATTAAGCTCCAACAAAGGCCTTCTATTGCATCTCATGATTCTAATAACATCCACTCCTCAGGCCCTAAGAAGGTTGAGGCCTCTCCCTCAAAATGCATGGGATGTATTAGATCGTAAAGTGGAACTTTACCTCAAAATTTCACATTTGGAATAATTTTTTTTAAGAGGTGACCTGTGGTAGATCCACTGGATGTTCTCCAACCCCCAACCCCCACCCTGCCCCCCGAAACCTTCTTGGAACGTCACAGGTCCCAGAAGGCTGCGGGTCCATTCAAAAGGCTGTTTGATTCTGTCCTCTCTGATCCTCCCCTTCTTCCACAGTCCCCAATCCACCTGCTGATAGAACAGAGCCTTGGGGGCAGGCTACACATGCTCAGTTTGGTGTGTATTGCTAGAGAGTTTTTTTTTTTGGGAAGGTGCATGCGATCAACACAGGGCAAATCAGTGCTGTCCAGCCAGAGGGTCAGGGGTTATGCAGCCTCACAGGACAATCAGGTGAAAATGAAAACTCCTCGTACAAGTTTTAACCAGTGCTGTGCTGGACACTGATAGAAGTCACAAGACTGCTATATACTGCTGATGAGAAAAAGTATTTAGCAGTTTATATTTACTAAAATAATTGTGTTTCCATGTTCTGTGTACTGTGGGAGACCGGATATAGTGAATGCAGGGTCCGTGGAGAGCTGATATAGTGAATGCGGGGTCCGGGGAGAGCGGATATAGTGAATGCGGGGTCCGGGGAGAGCGGATATAGTGAATGCCGGGTCCGGGGAGAGTGGATATAGTGAATGTCGGGTCCGGGGAGAGCGGATATAGTGAATGCAGGGTCCGGGGAGAGCGGATATAGTAAATGCAGGGTCCGGGGAGACCGGATATAGTGAATGCAGGGTCTGGGGAGACCGGATATAGTGAATGCTGGGTCCGTGGAGAGCTGATATAGTGAATGCGGGGTCCGGGGAGAGCGGATATAGTGAATGCGGGGTCCGGGGAGAACGGATATAGTGAATGCCGGGTCCGGGGAGAGCGGATATAGTGAATGCCGGGTCCGGGGAGAGCGGATATAGTGAATGCAGGGTCCGGGGAGAGCGGATATAGTGAACGCAGGGTCCGGGGAAAGCAGATACATTGAATGCAGGGTCCGGGGGGAGACCGGATATAGTGAATGCAGGGTCTGGGGAGAGCGGATATAATGAATGCAGGGTCCGGGGAGAGAGGATATAGTGAATGCAGGGTCCGGGGAGAGCGGATATAGTGAATGCAGGGTCCGGGGAGACCGGATATAGTGAATGCAGGGTCCGGGGAGAGCGGATATAGTGAATGCGGGGTCCGGGGAGAGCGGATATAGTGAATGCGGGGTCCGGGGAGAGCGGATATAGTAAATGCGGGGTGCGGGGAGAGAGGATATAGTGAATGCAGGGTCTGGGGAAAGCAGATACATTGAATGCAGTGTCCTGGGTTTACTAACATTTTAAAGCCAAACTATAGGAAAACAGCTAAACACATGTGTAAACTACATGAAGATCTGTAATTCCCCTAGCCAATTTTAGACTTCTGTCACATCTGTGACACTGCATAGCCAGTACCTGAACCTCCTTATGACCTCCCTGAACAATGCACTGCAGTTGAACGGTACAGCCTGGTCTAGAACACACCGTAGCTTGTGACTGGACAGAGGAACAGCAGCATACTGTTTAGGTCGTCACTCTGTCAGCCTCTCCTGTCAGGAGGATCCCTGTTCTAGACAGGGCAGCACTGTATGTAGTAGAGTTTTACTGGCTTCTAGTTCTGTTTCACCCACTTCCAGGGAGTGCTGCTGTACAGGATGATATCAAGAGTACTGATTCTATTTTTTTAATGAATGTATATCTTCTGGACATAATGCTGTTTTTGTACTTGGATGGGGTCCGAACTTTAATTCACAATCTAGAATGGATGACCTTGCCTGGACATAGAAAAGTGCCCACACTTCAATAGAGAGGTACTGAGCTCCTGCTGGGGAACTGCAGTGAACAACATCAGATCCTAGCACAAGCTCCGTATGATCATAAGCGGCTGGTTGGGGAGCTGCTATTCTATAGTGATGCATAGTCAGATTTGTTGTGTAGCAGCTGCAAATACTCTGTCTGGAATTCTTGCCATCAATATTAATCTCCTATCCTGGAAGATTATTGCTTTACAGCCAATTTTAGCTATTCCCATATTCCTTTCTTCTCAGCTCAGGCTCTCGTTTTACAGAAGGTTTAAATTAAAACACATTTTTTAAACATGATAAGGCCTCCCCGATCTCATTTTATTTTTTATCAGCGGCTTTCATAGTCCACCGATGAAACTTCCTCCCTGTTTTCTGTACTCTGGTTAAATGTCTTGCGTCAGCACATTGATCTCGGTGCAAATGCTGGATCCATCAGACACGGCCAGTACACACTCAATGGAAAAAAGCTGCTAAAAGGTCACAATTACAAGATAGAAATGAGACTTTTCTGTCTGTTCTCCAGTGGTCGCACTACAACAGAGCCGTCACAAAACGGAATTGTAAGCTCAGTATATTTAGGTATTGTCTCATGAAACAGCAGGTTTTCCTTTAAAGGGAACCTGTGCTTTGCCTAGGCAGAGGACTGCAGCCAGCGGCTTATAATGACCCTCTGTTTGTTTACCTGCCTTTGTGTTGGTGAAGAGAAGAAGCCCTGTGTAAGGTCCAGGTCAATCCTTAAATGAGCTTACACAGGGATGAGGACTCTCTCCCAGCCCTATATGGCAGGACCATGCCCCCCCATGTGACAGAACTGGACCAGTCACCAATTACCAGGGATGCCATGTAGGAGGAAGTGAGTCACATATTTTCCTATACCCGGAAGTACCAGCTATTACTCTTCACTCCCGGCAGCAAACAGAGTGGTAGGGGAGCAAAGGGAAGGAAGGATGTCATACACACACTAATATATAGTATCAGGACTGCTGTTAGAAACCACGGGGCCCCATACAGCCAACCTGACAGCCCCCACCCCCGCAAAAAAAAACAACTGTTTGCTATGCTTCAGTTATGAATGAACAGAGTGAGTGACTGGTACAAATCACTCATTGTGTTCATTCAGGAAAGGAAGGGGCTGGTAAATGCAACATATTTACTGGACGCTTCCCCTACTCTCCATCCGAAAGGAACCTATTGTGTGCTTGTAGCTGCCGGTGGAAAGGAAAGGAGGGAAGCTGACAGCACTGTGGGGGTTGAGGCACAGAGGGGGGTCTGGGTAGCAAGAGGAAACATATGATGCACAGGGAGGGTGATGGGAGTGGAAGGTGGGGCAATTACTGGAACTGATCCCCTGTATGGCTCTCTCTGCAGCAGCTGAAAGCCAGCAGGAGGGAGAGGAGAAGAAGTCGGCTTTCAGCTGCTGCAGAGAGAGCCATACAGGGGATCAGTTCCAGTAACTGCCCCCCTCATGCCGATCACCTTCCCTAACCACATCTGATTCACCCTGCTGCCTGGGGCCCCCTGATGGCTTGGGCCCCATACAGGAGGACTGGTGGTACCCCTGTATAGTCCCATTATGCAATGAAATAATTCAGTGCTATCCAGAGCTCCTTCATCAAGCAACTGCCATGCAAGGTCCAAACTATTCCATATGTGATTGTGACTCTGAATAACATCAGAGTAAACCTTTGACATCCATACTTGCATTTGTAGGTTGCTGCCATCTGTCTATATCTCTGTCTAGCACCTGAGATCAAATAAGTCGATCGTCACAAGAAGTGCAAATGGGATTCTTCTATCCTAGACTTAAGTTGCTTCTTTATTGAGTAGTAACAAATAGTAGCGCTCATGGCGGGCTTCATGGCTTCACCGCCTGCAAAGGATGCCTGGACAAAAGGGGTCCATTGCAATCCCCAAGATGCAATCAATGAAGGAAAAGCTGCAACAATCCTTTTTTTTCTTCAGTGAACATTATTTCACAGTGAGAAAAGCACTGCATTGCGTAACATCCTCTCTTAGAGCCCTTTTCTCCATCTCCAGCACATTTCACCCCAGCAGAGGCTTAGGCATAAGAGCTCTTCGATGAAGCCCCTCCTGGGGTGAACACATTGAAGGAGGAGCAGGGTCACTCAGACAGTGTTGCCCTTATCACTGTGAAATAAAGTTCTGTGAAAAAAAGGAAGAATGTGGCATTGGTGCAACTGTTCCTCTATTCTTTGCTTCTCTTTTAAATTGAAAAAAGTCAATTGCAAGGATTGACTTTCTTTTTTTTTTTTTTTGCTGCTAAAATCTCAATACCGAAGCATGGAAGAAACCCTCAGTCTCTTGAGAGTGAAGCATAAGATACCCTGGATTATATAGATATATATGGTGCGTGAACAGATTGCTTGCAAGATTAATAATAAGGCAGCAATTTGAGAAGACATGGGCCCCTTGGGATAAATACCTACATATCCAGCTAATTCCGTCCTCAATGATGACCATATTATCTCAAAGAGTTTCTTAGGTCCATCTCTTTATTCTTTCTCACTCCCTTCCCCTCTTTTACTCCCTTTTTTTTTCTCCTTTCCGTTTTATTGCTCTTCACAAAAATCCAAATATTACACTTATCAGATACTTAATATACTGTATAAGGAGGTTATGACGCACTCAGACTAACGGTCTTCTGTTAAACAATCTTACTCTCATCATATAGATTGTAAGCTCCAAGGATCAGGGCCCTCCTACCCCTCTTGTATTGAACTGTATTGGTGCTTATCTCCCTTTATATTGTAAAGCGCTGAGCAAACTGTTGGCGCTATATAAATCCTGTATAATAATAGTAATATAGAGCAAGGATTTCCAAAGTTTCTAAATAAAGGTCCTGTTAACTGTTCTTTAGGTTTTACGGGGGGAGCACATTAGCCAGTGGGAGTACGAAACTCCCCATTGTTAGTTATAATGGAAGAAATAGTGCCCCATCATTGGTATCAGTGGGAGGAATAGTGCCCCACCATTGGTATCAGTGGCAGGAACAGTGCCCCATCATTGGTATCAGTGGGAGGAATAGTGCTCCATCATTGGTATCAGTGGCAGGAACAGTGCCCCATCATTGGTATCAGTGGGAGGAATAGTGTCCCATCATTGGCGTCAGTGGGAGGAATAGTGCCCCATCATTGGTATCAGTGGGAGGAATAGTGCCCCCATCATTGGTATCAGTGGGAGGAATAGTGCTCCATCATTGGTATCAGTGGGAGGAATAGTGCCCCATCATTGGTATCAGTGGGAGGAATAGTGCCCCATCATTGGTATCAGTGGGAGGAATAGTGCCTCATCATTGGTATCAGTGGGAGGAATAGTGCCCCATCATTGGTGTCAGTGGGAGAAATAGTGTCCCATCATTGGTATCAGTGGGAGGAATAGTGCCCCATCATTGGAATTAGTGGGAGGAATAGTGCCCCATCATTGGTATCAGTGGGAGGAATAGTGCCCCATCATTGGTGTCAGTAGGAGGAATAGTGCCCCATCATTTGTATCAGTGGGAGGAATAGTGCCCCATCATTGGTATCAGTGGGAGGAATAGTGCCCCATCATTGGTATCAGTGGGAGGAATAGTGTCCCATCATTGGTATCAGTGGGAGGAATAGTGCCCCATCATTGTTATCAGTGGGAGGAATAGTGCCCCATCATTGGTATCAGTGGGAGGAATCGCAGACCGCCGATCCGTCCCAGCCGGCGAGCGCAGAATCCTCGGCGATCGCGGCGGCCGCGCATGCGCAGTAGCGATCGCGGCCGCACCAATGGGAGAGCAGGGCGCCCTATTTAAAGCTGCCTGTGCATCTCCAAGTTGCCGCAAGGTCTTGTTCCAGTCCTGTAAGTACGCTTCCTAGTTGCCAAACTCTGCCTGTTCTGACTTATGCTTACCTTCTCCTGCTCTGACCCCGGCTCGTCCCTGACCATCCTTCTGCCTGACCCTCGGTACCTCGTTGCCCGCTACCTGTTGAACCTGGCTTGTGACCCCGACTATTCTCCGCTTACTCCCCCTGTACCACGCTGCCCGCACAATTCCGACCCGGCTAGTCTGACCTCGTCCACTCCTGACAGTTGCCCATCCATCCCGCTCGGATCGGGATCTGTCATCCCATCCATCCCGCTCGGATCTCGGATCCAGGATCTGTCATCCCCTTCACAGCAGGCTCAACCCGGGCACATACCCCCAGCGGGACCCCTCTGCCACCGCCGGGGGTGCCCAGGAACGCGACCTGGGTTTCAGTCTTGCACCAAGTCCATCCCCACCATCAGGGGCCCTGGTGAAAAGGCAGACTGGGACTTAGACTCCGCGCCCTGGGAAACCCCGTGCCGTGGACCACTAGAGATCCCGTTGGGTGGAGCCTGACAGTACCTTGCGGCCATGACTGAGCCTGGAAGGGGAACTTCCCCTCTG